TGTCAATAATGAATGGTTGAAGGACGATCACAGTGTAACACATGACTAACTATCGGAGGATGGTCCTAGAGCTTCAGTTGCTGTACTTTGCGTCGCATTTTCGCTCGACTTAACACGTTGCAGCCCGCGTGCATCGCCGGGTATGCACATCTATTTTGCTCCCCATGAACCTTTTTCTGTACTTCTTTGGCTAACTGACTTCTGTTAGTCTCATGAATTCGTGGAATGTGTGGCATGTCGACAAATTCAAGTTTCAACAGAAACAATCAGATTCTAATACGCCTACACATACCACCAACACCAAACACCTCTCGAAAAAAACACACCCCACCTACTTGAACCACTTAGCCACCAATGGGGCATGAAATTTTGCGTGCAGATTGCGGCTGTCAGATTTTGAGCTTTCACTTGGCACTTAAAACGAAACTATGTATCGGAAATTTTCCCCAATATACTCGTCTACTAGCTCGCAGAAGAACGTACGAACCATGCTAAAAACTTATTGGACTTATAAACCGTAATAACAGCAAAACTTGAAAAACTCATAATCAGTATAGGGTAACAAAATTTGCTGCGCCATCCTAACGAATCCGATCCTTACAGTGAAAACAGACGAAATGTCTCAAATATAAGATTAAAGCATCGCCGGGTGTGGATGCAACAATACCGCCAATGACACATGTGTGACAAGCAGGGTGAATATCGGTCGAGGAAATCCTCGACAGGGGGGTCGTACCTGTTGGGCTGGTCCATGGGGGTCGTACTCTTGGGGTCAGTAACAGCAGTGGTATCGTGGTGCAGATAGGTAAGAGGGTATAGCGCAGCAGAAAATGAAAATATCTGAAAAAAATGATATTAAATTTTCTTTGCAGGTTCAGTCGCTCCATTCCTCCACCTTCATGAGAAGGGCGTATTTGAAGGCAGTACAAAGAATGAAAGTGCATCCCCGCAAAGAAGACTGCCACATGTGCGCACGCGCTGCAAAGGCACCTCCTCTGCCTATCGCTCGCTCCTTCTCCCTTAATACCTCGCTGAGAATGACACTGTTGTTAGGGACCCTGTCGCAAAAACGACAGTGAAGGAAAAGCCCTGGGCAAATGAAGTTGTTCTTTAGGTTGTAAGAGTTACGAAATGCGTTTACTACAATGCAGCTTCTGTCAACTGGTCATGATCATATGACACCTTCGAATCGATTCTGCAACTTCGAGTGAGGTCGGATGCATGGCCTATACTCAGACAAAATTCGATGATGACGATTGCCCCTTTTCCTATTGCTTATGTTGGGAGGATGTTTTCTAGACCCATTTCAAGCGTTGCCAACAATTACACTTGCAATGGTGAAGAGGGAGCGGATTTTCAGGTGGCCGCTTACATACTCGACGCAGATATCTTCTCAACTAGGAAATGTAGAAGAAAGCTAAGAAGACCATCAGAAAGCGCAAACCTTCCGCTTTCCAAAACTATCTTCCCTTTTTCAAACCTTACGAATATAGAGAGATATTGCTTTTGAAGTGGCAAAAACTAGCATGAAAATTTCGGCCTCCTCGACATTTACTCGACGAAATTTGAGAGACCCTATCTTTCTGCATGGAAGGCTTTCCAGAGCAATTTCAATACTTCTTGGAAACGCGAAATCCAGCTCTATCTAACCCTACCTCAAACTGCTTCAAAGGTTATGAAATGGAGGAATGCAACCTTTTCATCGAGGGTGTAGATTTCGACGGTTTTTTTTTTTTTTTCGGGATTTCAGCAAATCTGACCCAGTGACAATCGCGCCGCAGCTGCCGTTGAATCGGCCGTTGATTGATACACTCGGCTGTTTCGATATACTCAAGCAGGAATTAAGATTAATCGCAACCCCGTGCCTTCAGGATTTCTGTGCATTTCTGAACGAACCTGGGGTCTCATCCAGTAAGGGGGGCATCAAGTGGCTGCCCTCACCCCCACCCCCTAGACTGCCTACACTCCCCCTGGCGCACAGGTTTCTCGAAGTACGGGACCCCGTGAGCCAGGGGGAGTGAAGGCAGTCTAGGGGGTGGGGGGGGTGGGGGTGAGGTCAGCCACTTTGACGTTGCATCACAATGCCCCCTTACTGGATAGAACGAACCTGACTTTGAGGTCACACAAAGTTAATGCCTCTTTCCTCGAGTCGATATTTCAGTAAATACACAAAAGTGTGCAGCGATGAAAGACAGTGCATAGATGACAAGATGAGGCGTCCATAACATTATTTTGCAGATTTTTTTTGATTTATTTTGCAGGATTTTTTTTGATTAATTAATTGAATTAATTTGCTCTGTTTTAGGGGGTCGTGCCAGGATCTCGATTTCGGGGGGGGGGTCGTACTTCTGCGACCACGTACTCGACACGATTTTCACCCTGGTGACAAGCGCGAAATCGACGCGGGCGTCAATGTGTTACCTTTTTCTTCTTTGAAGGCAGCGATTACGATAAAGAGGGAGCGCATCGGGGAAGCATATGCACCACACGAAGCAGTTACTTGGCTGCCAGGGAAGCGAGGTGTAGCGCTTTCACGACGGAAGGTGCGCTGGTTGCTGAGCAGGACTTCGAAAGCACTCCGCCCCAAAAGCGATCCGCCCACTAGTTTAGTTGATGAATTGGACGAGCTGCATGGCCAGCGAGTGCAACTCAAATGGAGCGTGGTTTGGCATGGTGCCACCAAACGCATTGCGATGAACTCCTTCATACGTCCGCGTTCTGACAAGAAATGGTGATTTGCTCGGTCCGGCCGTTTGTAATGAGGTGTAGTCCGATGCACGCGTCTTGCGACGCTGAGCTCGAATCCGTTTTCGATTTTTGCCGAACGCTTCTATGAACGAAGTTACGAGGGATTCTTCTCACCGTGGCTATCTCACTGTGGCGGCCTCTACATCCCGTACCCCACTCGGCTCGCATAAGAAGAGCCGGAGAGCAGCCATGGCAGCGAGCCCCACATGAAGCGAGAGCCCTGTCCACTACACCACCAGGCTCATTACAAACGGCCGGACCGAGCAATGACCCATCGTTGGTGAGCGGACCTTCGTGAGTTGAAAAACGGATGGCCAATAAAGCGGGGTCCTGTTTCACGATTTCACGCAGTTTTTGCCCCCTTTTTTCGCAACTGGCCCTTACTATGAGCCATCCCACGTCTCCTCTAACGCTTTCTCAAAAACTACCATGATTCGCTGCCTTTAAGCTACAGAGGCCATTCTCATGAAAAGCGAAGTTTCACCTCCAGACACCATAGTTTCTTCGTAAGTTGGATTTGGGGAATGCAGGGGCAAGATAAAACTTTTGAAATCTGCAAGTTTGCTGCTTCATAGCGCATGCTAGAATTTCCCCCGAAAGCTTGAAATTTTAAAATTTTGGTCAGAATTTTCTGCTAAGGCACTAGAAATCAATCCGAATTCGCCGAATTCGTTGCACTTTCTCCCACTTTGGTTTGGTCTAGAAGCTCCTACAATCACCTTAAAGGCACGCTCCACGATTAGGCGCGCTTGCCTCTTCCATCCCGGGAGTAGTAGGCAGGCGGACAAGTGTTGTTGTCGCACCCCTTTTGCCGCTTGAAAGTGCGCGACAAAGGCACAAGCAGCTCGTCCGACCTGCAACTCACACCTTTGTCCGCAAGCCCCACCCTCCGCTGTCCGTTGCCACGTGGCGCTGCTTGAAAAGCGCGGGCGCATTTGAGGCAGCGGTCCCACCGCGATCCTGTGTCAATGGCACTGGAGCAACTAGAGTCAGGCTCGCGAAACTCGTCCAACGCGCCTTTTCTCTATCCCAAGGTGGAATGTTGCTGAAATAGGGGAGGTTTCTGTACGGGGCGTAATCTGTGATTTCGTTTGCTTTCCTTCTCTTTTTATAGACCACCTCCCACCTCTAGTATCATGACTGAACGCTTTTAGACACCTATTTTATCCCGAATCTTGCCTCTTAAGTAATCTATATGCTCAGGCTCACTGGAATAATATGAAGTGATTCAATAGGAGCTCTGGGATCTGGGATGCGCCATTCAATAGTTTTCGGTGAGTAGTCGCAGAGTAGTTGAAAGTTGTCCTGCTCTGCCACTCGAGGGTACCTTCAAATTTTGTGACTGATACTGAGCTTACGACCCCTTTCCTTTCCCATTGGTAAATACGACCCTCTCGTTGATCTCAGCAGAACGGATGGTTAACCCTGCTTGTGACGATATTGCGCAAAGAGAAGCCTATTGCACGATGCCTGCTTCTCAGTTTAAAATAACGAAGAAATTAAATAGCATCCAAAAATACCTCGCCAAGTCCAAACTCCTCGATTGTTGCAGAATAAAGTGGATATTGTGGTATGGGAATCATTATGCCAGTTTTCTTCGGCGCGTTCCCTCGAACAAACAGTTTGAGAACGTTACGAATAGAATCGGTAGCGCCCGAGGAGAGAATAACGTTCTCGTAATCGCACGGGACACCGTCACGTTTCTGAGACAAATCAATAAGTTATGTTGGAAAAGCTCGGAAACTTCTATGGGAGCTACCGCAATACATATAAGGGGACATTCACTAGGACTAAAGCGTAGGAGGAGGCAGGAGCTCTAGGGGAAATGAAAATGGCTCACGTCGTTGGAGTCTCTCCTCCGCCTAGAGCTCAGTCCCGTTTTTAACAAAAAGGCATGTTTTACCCGGTTTTAGGCAAACCCCGGCGATGATAAGCCCGGCTTGTCGGAAAAGGATACTCGATGAGCGATATTTTTAAGGTCCGTACCTACCTACATCACACCAGCTTCGTCGCAAAAACTGCGCGATAGGGCGCTAATCCTTGCGGACCTGCAACCATCAAACTCCTTTGCAACGTTTCCCACCCACTTTGGTCGATGAACGAGATCAGCGTGTCTTCTTCAAACGACGTGCTCTCTCGCGTATTTTGTCTTCTTTGACCACCCTGTCTCGCCATCGTACCACATCCGACCTTATTGAAGGTTAAGGCCTTAATTTCAGCGTTCCCAAAGATTTCCCTCGCTTTCCTTTCCACTTTCAGGTCGTTCTACAGCTCTGTAATCACTACAAAGCGTTCTTATCACCAGTTTTATCCTGGGGCTTGCGCCTACAAATACACCGCCATCACAATGCCCCCGTATATTGCGATAGCGCCCTTCTTTGTTTATAAAAACCGACCGCGATAAATTCGGCTATATGTTTTCTGAACTATGTCGATTCCTGGGCTCTGGCTGTAAGCGCCACAACTTCTACCTCCGCAACCACCAAGGAGAACCTTAATGAAATAAAATGATATATCTATTATGAGAATATTGATTTTCTGTCGAGGTAGTTTCAAGCAGAATATGAAACACTTATATAATACCTTTGCATGCTCAACAACATCAGATGGGAAATAGCTGCCTCCATCAAGGCCGATTTGTATACAAGACAACCTTGAAAAACTTTGCGCTGCATTTCGTGGCAGTTTCTCAGATTAACAAAGAGCGGGTAGGCTTTAGGAAGATGTTCCAGCTGAACACATGGAAAAATCCATAAATGGCTAGAAAAGTGCAAGAAAGCCAAGAGAAAGGCGAATAGCTACCAGCGAATAAGAGCCCTCCATCACCTTGTGGGCGGAGCATGCGCAACGTGGGCGGTGTTCAGGCGAAAACGATCTCAATTGCCTTGTACAATACGCTGAACGCAGTAATGCGTTAATGTGCAGCGTCACTCCAGTTGATAGCAATGTCGAGAGAATGAAGAGCATTCTTGAACACACGGAGATTGATTCCAGCAACCAAACCTTCCCTCATAAGCGGATGTCATTGATTCGTTAACATTAACATCATAGGGCCGAAGAAACGTTAGCGACAAAGGGTCAATGATACCGCGACCCAGTTAAGAGAATGGCCCAAGATAAAAGAGACTTTCTCTTTACAAGATCGAGTGCGTTCACATTTTTTGTCCGAACGAATTAAAGTATCATTTTTCAGAGTTGTAAGTTACTATGCTACATATGCGTGCCATCAAAATGCTGCAACACGCCATCACAACATTCAAAAGGCGTGGAATGCGGGTGTATGTCAGAAGCTTGAAAGGTGTCGGTCATATGATTTTCTGATCCGGCCGGCTAGTTGTTCAGATGGAACTGTACGGAAGATCAGAACAAAAGAATGGAGGTTTTCGTGTCACTCGAGGAAAGGACCCGCTGAGCTACTTTAGCACGGGGACCAACGGAGACGTTACTGGCCTGAGGAGC